CGGTGGAGCTCGCGGCGAAGTTGCGTCCTGAGATGCGGGAACACGTGCCGAACATGAAGCCGCTGTCAAAGGCGTCCTCGTCCCGGGTGAAGTCGACAACTGCCACTTCATTGTTTGAGTCGTGCTTGTTGGACGCCGACGATCAGTGAGTGCAGTTGGAGCACGCGATGAATGCTTAACTTGAGTCCTTGGTGTCTTCCGGGCGCTTTCCTCCTTGCTGGTAGCATTCCTCGTCCGAGTGAGACGTGGTGTTGTGCTTGGAGCACCACTTGGTAGCTCCGGCGGGCTTCGTTTTCTTCTTCGCCCTGTTCTTGATCTTGGGGCAGTTCCTCCTGATGTGCCCCGGCTCGTAGCAGCTGTGGCAGATGATGTCAGACGCGGTCGTTGCCATGGCAAATCCTCGACCAGCTATGCGTCCCTTCCATTCCTTGCGCGATTGTTCGTCCAAGAAGATGTTGCGCATGGTGGATTGCATGTCCAGGACGTTGAAGGTTGGGTCTCTGAACACCATCAGTTTGACGTCCTTGTATTCGTCGGAGAAGCCCTGGACGCAGATGTCCTTGAAGCGGCGGTCGGAGATGGGTTCTCCCATCTTATCCAGCTGGGTGCGAAGTAGGTGCTTCTGGTTGAAGTAGTCGTCGGGATTTTCACCAGGGTTCATGGGGTTGTTCTCCAGCTCCTCCATCTTCGCCCTGATGACCTCGTCCGTTACCCTGTCATAGTTGTTGCAGAGCTCCTCGAAGGCAGCTTGTCCGTCGCCGCTGATGCCAGTGTCGTCTTCGTGCTTCTGTATCGACAAGGCGGCTGGAAGTTCCACTAGGAGGAAAATAATGGCGTAGAGGACTTCGTTTGCCCTTGTGTAGGAGTCGAAGGCCGCTGTGTCTGCGGGATCTGGCTTCCTTTGTTTCTTTTATTTTCTTCGTCTTGATAAAAGTACTTCCTGCTGTAGGAGTAAGTTTGCTCGTGGTACTACTGCCTGTACCCGAGACTTCCCCACCCCGGTCCTGCTACTGATATAGGGGACTCCGGTTGTGGTTTTCTTGTTTCCGATCCCGCTCCTGCTACTGATATAGAGGACTCCGGTTGTTGATCGCCTCCACTGATGATACAGTGTAGTTCCTTGTACACCCGATGCGTATGCCGCTCGAGACTCCCGCGCACGTGACCCTTGCTGCTAGTTCACCACAGAGATACCCGCTACTGCCTGAGGGGTGGTAACGTGTGTATACGACGTGAACCCTCAGCACCTTGGTGTAGATGACCAAGTTTGCGCGTCTGCTTGTGTTGCCGTTGACCGATGACGGCGTCGCAATCTCCAGAAATCTCCGAAACCAGGTTCTCTCGTTGTCCACGGATGAAGGTTGATGTCCCGAGAAGAGGTTGCCTTGATCTTCCCGTGATGTTCGCAGCTCGTAGTGTGTGCGTTAGCCGAGGCTCATAACCTGTCAGAGATATTTCGCTGTGCACTAGCAGCAGTACGATGCTGCAGATGCCAGGAGGCTGTGTAGCCTACCTCAGAGGTTCACACTCTGTGCGTCTCCAACCGCGAGAGACTTGGAATGGAAATATGAAGATGCTTTTACTAGTTGCTGACTCCCGAGTCAGATGTTGCTGGTACTGAAGCGGAGTGAGAGGAGTGGGCGAGCTTAGGGCTGCACCAGACCACTCTTCTCGAATACCGGACAAATATGCCAATCACATGAAAGATCCAGAATGCTTCCAGAATGATTTCTGGAAGCCCTTCTACGTTCTAGAAGAGTATCAACTGCAACCTAGATCTAGAACGCTTCCAAAAGCTTACAGAAGGAACCAGAAGTTTCCAGAAGGCTTCCAGAAGCTACACACGTTCTGCGTACATGTCCCGGTCAACCTTGACCTAGCATGCTCCCGGAGTATTTCTAGAACAACAGAATACATGCCACGGAGAGATGGATTATTTTCTACTGCTACGCAGACTAGTTGCTGCAATCGTACAAAGGTCAAACCGTGTCCGACTACTGGTGGTCTCGACGCACGATTTTCCTGACATGGTAAGAAGTAGTGACTTGGGTATTACATTTCGGAGGGGCAGTGTAGAAGGGTTGAGCATGCAGGTTTTCGCAGATGCAGACTGCGCGAGTATGGCTGCTGATAGGAGGTCTGTATCAGGGGGTTTTGGTGATGTGTGGAGGGGGGTGTATTTCTTGGTTTTCGAGGACGCAGAAGTGTGTGGCGTTGAGCACTACAGAGGCAGAGTACGTCTCTCTTGCGGATGTGCTGAAGGAGGTGCTGTTCCTGAGGCAGGTAGGTGTGGCGTTCCATGCTGCCAGATGCGGGTATGCCGTGCATCCCGGTGTATGAAGATTAACCAGGGGGCTATTCAGTTGGCGCAGAATCCGATTAGCAACAGCAATTCCGAGCACACTGACGTAAGACACCACTTCAGGGAGCTTGTAGGGAGGAACGTGATATCGATTTTCCACGTAGAGTCAGCGTACCAACATGCCGACTTGCTCACAGAGGCGCTTCACGTGGGAGATTTTGAGTTTCATCGTAATTTCGTGATGAGTGTGGAACAGGAACGGTATTTATTTATTTGTGTTTGATCAACCAAATAGGGTGGCAATGTTTTATACATTTTTGCCTATGGTTTTCTCAATGAATGGTGTTCTAGGCTGGGGGGGGGCTGTTGGATCGCTATGATTATCGAACAACTATATGCAACTGGAATGATCGGGGATGGGAATAAAATTCTAGCCCAGCAGGCTATATTGTTGTAGATTTGAGTTGCGTTTTGGAGTTACTGAACGATCATGAAGACATGGCATCGTCACAAGCAGGGGGGCTGATAGATATACTTGTTGCAATGCCACGTGGTTGGTACCGGATGTTCTCATGGAATGAGGTAGAGCGGACTACCGGGTGACATGTATGTGTGGTACGTAGAATAGTCCAGGGATGTACAAGGTACCCCTGTTGTATACGGCGTCGCCCCCTCAACGGGGCTTGTGTGTGCGTATGTATGTGGACGGAACTAATCACAACAAGTTTTTCTCCTCGGCGGGAGACCGCCGAGTTGCCGACACCCCATTCAACACACGTTTTGCGACAAGCTACCCCCAGTTCGGATTATCCCAACAAATAGAACACAAGGGCGTGGATAGTACGACAAGATACACACACCAACCAACCGCCGTTTATTTCGGCGCTTTGCCGGTCGTGCCGATGGATACATTAGCTCTCCTACGGTTGTTCAGCACCTACCCCGTAGATGACCAGGTGCATGGGCAAGACCGCTGCCTCTGTGTATATCGCGACTTCGCTGTAGCCCTGCAGCCCCCGCCCAACCTGGTGTCCAACGGGCGAACACGAAGCAAGGGTGTTTGGCTTGCAGTAAATAATACTTCACCTCAGGGCCGTGGCCCCAAGATTAGGCTCATGTGGCGTTCAAGGAATATCAGCTCTCCTTCTCGGTGGTCTATGCTTATTTTCTTCGTTCGGAATCGAGCGTGTTGCAGTGATTTCGCTGTTCATCGAATGTCACCCTCGAGTTGAGCGCCGCACAGGTAGACAAATGGCTAGGGTCAAAATCCTCTAGAGGATAGGTGAAACGGCAATCCTCAGAGGATTGCCCAAAAAAGCGGAAGCTCTGATTTGGTAAAAAGGTTATCCCCCCAGAGGAAACCCTCACCCAAAGCCCTGGAGGATCACTGTTCGAAATCCTCTGGAGGATCGTTGGAAGAAATACTCCACGGGGAATACATTACAACTTCCTCCAGAGGATTTAGGAAGGTGATCCTCCAGAGTTTTGGGTGAGGGGTTTCCTCTGGGGAGGATCACGTTTTTACCAAATCAGAGGATCCGCTTTCTTGGGCAATCCTCTGAGGATTGCGGTTTGGATTCCAAAGAAAAACTCCAGAGGAATAGCCAGAGAACTTCCTCGGGAGGGAGTGGGGGACAATATATCCCCCGGAGCATGTGGTGCGTTTCTTCCAGTGGAGACTGCTGGGAAACATGCACCTTCTGCTGTTCATGTCACTTTTGTCGCTCTCTTATAATATTCTCTGAGGGGGGTGTACAACTTACGCCCGTTGCATAGATATATTCGAATTGATCGCTTAGAAGCAACACACACCAGGTTAAGGGCCGTTTTAAACGAACCAATAATGTTTCAAATTTCCGCTCCAAAGATTTGGAACCAAGAGGCGGCACGTTTCGACTGTACAGAAAAACAAAAGCTCAAGCATCGACAAGTTACTACGGCCTTCGACGTTGAAACAGGGCAACTTTCCAAATCTCTTTACCAAATCACGAACATCTTACGACTTAGTACGGAATAGGTGCATCCCCGTGACGAAAACAAGGACGAAACAATTGAGAACCACCGAAGCACACGGCTGCCTATATACGCACGTGCTCAAAGAGAAGCACAGTGCCTTATCAACAAAAAAACAAACCGAAATCTCTAGACCAAAGCACTACACTTCGTTGCGTATCACCTCGCCCAACGGTATGTCGCCAAGTCAAAGACTATCCCCATCAACTTGGAAACAAAAAACACACAAACATGCGTGGGTAACAAGTGTGCGGGGTACATCCCCGCAACGGAAAACTGACGAACGAAGAAAAACGACTGTCTATGAACGTGCCTGAGAGAATCTGCCAATGAAAACGACATCCCGCCCCTACACCAGGGCAAAGTAGTATCTCGTTGGCCGTCGCACCGTCAGCATTCATTCCTCAATAGACAAGTCGAAAGACGTCCCCGTTAACTGCTGTAAGAACCGAACTGCAAATAGGTGCATGGGAACGTACACGGCGTTGCTGAAAACATCACTAGACACGTACGGGCATAGTTCTGAGTCTGAGTCCGAGAAGCTTTGATGAAAGAAAAAACATCATCCTGAGTCAAACAGGCAACATAATAGAATACGAAAGTTCCCCACGGACAAACTACCAACATGTGCCAGAAAATTCCGAAGTCCAAAACCAAAACTGCTATCGTCTTCAACCATGTCCGAACAAAAACAAAACGCGATACGAACTCTCAAATCTTGCCGACTGTCAAGCGACAAGTATACTAGGGCCGTGACGCATCATCGGCGAAGCCTCCAAGACTCGACCCTTGGCAGAATGCTGAATATTGCCAAGCCTCTGCTTTGATAGCAAAACCGTGCCCGAAACGCACCCTCGCAGCATCGCAAATGCACCGGAAAGGCACAATTCTTCACCGATATGCGTTCGCGCGACAGCCCCAAAGTCTCGGTACAACACACGGTCGGCCATAACAGAAACATTTTGCAGGCCACCTCCTATGCATATGCGGGAACAGCGGGTGCAGCAGATATTAAGCTTGAGAACCGGCTACCTCATCACACCAATACAACACAACAGGGGGGGGAGGGGGGATAGTCGTGCATGCCGTAGTCGTTAGACCATTGACCTCACATCCCTACAAAGCCGGGACGGAGCACGCCGGGTTCTCACCGGACCAGGCTCTCCCATCACCACGCGCAAAACACAACAGGGGGGACGAATAAAGTAGCCACAAGTATTCACAAAAAACGAAGCAACCAGCAAGGTTCCCTGTGGATTCCTACACCCCAACCTTCAAATGTCAAAAAGCAACAACACAGCTCCCCACTCAACCACCCCCGAGCCTCTGTTTGACCATCTTCCGAGCCTCCGCTTCATTGGTTGCCCGTGGTCTTGGTTGCCCACTCCAGTCCTCTCCTGCTCCCTTGTATACAACTCTCCTCGCCACCGCTATCGCGTGATAGTCCAATTCTAACAACGACGTCCGACGGGGGGCGGGGCGGGATAGAGAGAGACAGATTGCGCTGTAAGAGATGGTTGATCGCGTGTAGCGAGAAATCACTAAATCTAGGTGCTTCCTCCCAAAGATAGGAGCCGCCAAGACTGACGTGCGTATTGCAGCCGGTTAGTGGGTTGCCCCGATGATACTTTTCAACACACAAGGTATTCCCCCGTGGAAAACAGTTTTTTTTCCCCATCGCACACCGCTGGAGAACTGAGTGCTGCAGAACTCCCTCAATGACAAAAATGCAATCACGTGTCGGTCCCGGTCCTCGCCACTAGGGTATGATACTCGTTGTCATTCAGAGTCACGAGATAATTACATCCTACATACAAGCCATCACAAATCATACATAGCACTATCACAAACCAACGAAACAACATTAACATTCACCTGCCCGTCCCCGTCCTCTCTAAGAGTGTAGCTCTCCTCCACCCTGTTGGCGCTGCCTCGTCTGCTGCTGCCGCTGCTGTGGCCGTCCCCGTTTCTCCTGCCGCAATCCCTCCTTTGCTGCTGCGGCTTCTCCCGTTTTAGAACGAAAATAAACACAGGAAAGCAAATGAGGGAACCTCGACACGTTAGAGAAGAGACAATTGCCTTGTCGAGTAAAAGGAGACCAGAAACACTTAACACATGGTATTTCAGAGTATATCAATTCAACGCCTCCCCTGAAAAAACTACGCTAGGTCAAACCAGCGCGTGTTCCGTGGAATTGGAAACAATCACCTTATGGTAAAAAAAAAAGAAAGGACACGGAACCTCCCCTCCACCCAAAAACACGCGGCGAAGTAGGCCAATCACCAGTAACGCACCATTCGTCCTCCACCCAAGAAAGCAGACAATACCAAACACTCGAAAGCGCTCCACTTCAACAGCTCCCCTGTACAAACAATATTTTGCCAGGCAGATGCGACCACTTCCGGGGAGCAAAAAAGCCAACCAAAGACACCCACCTTTTGTTTAGCCGGTGCGAGATTCGTCATGGGCTATCGTCCGTGTCTGGGTCCACTGTCACCACCGGCGCGGGCGCCGCCGCCCCGCCCGTGCTCGCTCCCAGTTCCATCATGTCAAACGGCGGGTCCCCTTTGTCGCCGACGCCCCTGCCGGTGGTCGCGGACAGGCTCGACCTCCCCGCCCTCGAGGCGGACAAGTACCGGCTGCTGAAGCTGCCGCTGCTGCGGTTTGTCGCGTCCGAGGTTTCCTGATCGCGGCGACGGCGACGGTGACGGTGAACGTGACGGAGTTGTTCTTGGAGTTAGCATTTTATTGCAGGGGGGGGAAGCGCTCGATTGCTGCGAGCCGCAGTAGATGCACCGACCCCGATCGTGGTTGTGCATGTTATTTGCAGGTTGAGACGTTCATTAAGTTGTGTGCAGCTATGAGCAAGCCAAGACAACTTTCTTGCGGAAAAAATCGAAGGACGAACAAAGAAAAAGGGGGGGGGGAGGTTGGAAGATGAACAAGCAGCTTCTTTCACACGCCACTTCAGGTGGCGCCCGAAGGAAGTGCAGGAGCAGCACTCTTAGCACCCTTGTATTTATGACGCAAAATGTATCCGCCGTTGATCCATTAGGCGCGAGCTTGAGGGTTCGGCATCCAACTACACAATCCAACAACTGACTTTATCTATCCCCTAAACAACAAGTCGCACGACTACAAAGATATCCTGTTTGCTTCCTGCGCCGGCTTCGCTACTGCTGCTGCTTAAATAGCTACTGTTGCTGCTGCCTCGACCATGTAAATATTGATGTTACGGTAGTAGTCTACGTGCGTGGAGCAGGTTGTGAAAAAACTGCTTTTGTACACGTACTACTGCTGTCGGTGGCGGCTGTGGGCGTGACGCACAACAAATATCCCTCGCCGGCATGAATATATGCTCGCCAGCGGAAAAAGCAACCAGAAGCAAGCCAGTAAGTCGTCTTGTGGAGGCGCAAGCTTCTTCAGCACAAGCTGCCGGACGAGCTTCAACGCTATTACGCTTTCTTGCCCAAAGATATGCATAGAGCATCGAGAGAGACAGCAGTTCCGAAGCAAACGCCTATTTTTATTTTTTATTAATAGCCCGCGTAGATAACACAACGCGGTGTTTCAGTGTCGGAGCCTCGCCGTCGGTAGCGGGACACATTTCTTTTGTACTAGAATTGAAGCTGATACTTCGGTTAAAGTCGGTAGCGGGACACATTTGAAAAGGGGCACAAGAGGGGCACACATCACCTGCGATCTTGGCAACACACAGCAGACACAGCACACCCGGCACCCAGCACATAGCACACAGAGAAGGAGGGGTGTGTGGGACATGGAAGCAACACGCCCTCGCTGCTGCTGCTGCTGCTGCTGTAGCGATCTATGTAGCTGCCAGGAAAGAAGCGGCTTGATGATGCATGATGGTCAGACGCAAACAAGCAATGTGCGGTTGGCGCACTGACGCAGTGGCACCATTTTACACTCCACTCTAGCAACTGCTGCTGTTCTTTTGTGTATGGTGGTCTGGTGTGGTGCAGAATGACTGGGTGAGACCGAGATCAGGCAGGTCAGACAGAGATGTGGGATCTGATGCTCGATATTTGCCTTTGAGAATATTAATGTGTACAGCAGAAGCAGCAGCAGCAGAGAAACAGGCGGGATCTTTCACTGCACACATCATCACAGGCGCGGATTTGAAGGCGGCACCACTTCTCTCGACATGTTGGTTGCTCGAATCACCGCTGTGGTGCTGCTTGCTGCACTTGGCTGCCGCTGGCCTCCTGTTGAACCGATGGCGTGCTTGTTGTTTAGTGTTGAAACGCTACATACAGCAGTGTACGTGCAGTACAGATAGACACATGACGATGGTTTTTTTGACAAGTGCTGCTTGTGCGCTGCAAAACAGCACCGAGAGTGGAAAAAAGGGGACAATCGATCAGAGCGCAGACATATCTAGGTAATCTCCTGCTCACTCTACATCATCTGCAGCAACTCGCGAGAAAGGCCAACTGCTGTATCTACGAAGACTTCCTTTTTTTTTTCTTTTTTTTCCAGGCGCCGCCAGAAAAAATCGCTACACAAACAAGGTAGCCCAGGTTTGCCCAGGTGGACCTACCCATGGCACCGCACCTGATGGTCTGGCTAGCATGAATTCAGGACTGCGCTGGTCTGCAAGCTTTGGCCAGATGAATAAATAGTGCAGGCGCATAGTGCATGTGACAAGCTGTGATGTTGAGCACGTGGGCCCCTCCTCGTCGTACGATCACTCGACAAGCTCGGTTGTCTCAAAACAGGAGCAAGCCACACACCCTCCCCCGCGGAGAATGAAGCAAGCCCCAAGCAATGACACCCACGGATCACCAAAACACGCCTCGCACAAGGCCTTCTCGGCCCATTTCATCCCTCTATTATACTGCCATTCACATTCCGGCACTTACCTCGAACAAGCCGCGCGATCGTCAGGAGGAGATGGTCCTCTCTCTGTCTCGTCCAGGCCATGGCTTTTTCCAGGTCCCTTGTTGTCAGAGCCTTGCTCGGGAAAACCAAGCAGGATGGCACGCATTACTCGGATCATGATGCTGTGGTGTGTGGACGCCGATGTACAGTGGCAGCGGTCTGCGGAGGCTGGTGCTCATCGCTCATAGTGCATATGTGCGTGCCGGGGTGCGTGTTTGAGCCAACGGCAGAAGCAGGCAGGAAGCCAAAAAAAACAACGGCCAAAGGGGGCTCGTGTCTGAATCGGGACACCCCGTGTTGGAGCCCCGACTCCCCCGACCGCCTTTTGGCCATTTGCTGTGCCCATGCACGGCGCCTTCCTCCGCGCACACCTGCTGCCTGCGCTTCCTCTTTGTGTACAGCGGGCACGGGCGAGGAGCCATCCTCGGGCTGGGTCTCGCAGCAGCACCGCAGCATGTGCGCTGGAAAGTTTACGCGCTGATTGGTGCAGCCCGTGGCCTCTGTCGTGGCGGATTTTTTTTGTTTTGTGCTCTCTGTGCTGCTGTCATGGAGCCAGCCACAGCCATGCTGCCAAAAGTGCTGGTTGTGATATTTTTCAGCTGATATTTTTCTTCCCCAGAGCAACAGACATCATGCCCAAACAGAGGACATTTAGAAACCAACACCCTCCGGAGGAACAACCCGCCGGAAGAACCCTCCCGAAGATTGTTACGGCGGTACCCCGCGAGCATTGCAGGTGCTTTCATCCACCTAATACATACCTTGTCCAGCAGTAACCTCTTGAGTAACTTATAGACCAGCGCCACCTTCCGGAGGAATGCATGTCAGATACATCTGGAGGAATACTTTAGGGCTTTTTCCCCAGGAGGAAATTTACACTACTGTTACGCCTCGACGAAGCAAGGATGGCTTCCTCCGAGGGGAAATCGTAATCCAGTCAACTCCAGCGGGTTCAAATTTCAAGTTCCCCCTGGAGGATTGTTAAGTGTTGCCCTCCGAGGAACTGTTCGACATTTTTCCTCTAGGGCAACCTGTTCTTTACGTGATGCTCTGGAGGATGCCGAATCTGCTCCCTCTGAGGAAATCGTGGTTTGAGATCCTCGGAGGACACCAATTGCTTACCCTCCGAGGAATACGTCAGATATGTAACCCCCAGAGTAACGTTTCTCAGGCAATGCTCTGGAGGATGCTGTATATCGTACCCTCGGGAGGATTTTTCGTTTGATATCCTCGGAAGAGGCCGATTGTCTCCCCTCCGAGCTTTGTTGAGGTTTTTCCCTCGGAGCATATCGTGCACAAATCCTCTAGAGGGTAAAATATCCTCCAGAGGATTTCGAACCCTCTAGAGGATTATTTTTCCTCAGAGGAATATGGGCGGGTAGCCATTTGTCTACCTGTGCGGAAGCCAGAGAAAACTATGTGCGAGAACTAAGATACACAGAAAAGGAGTGTGTACACAGAGGTCGGTTGAATAATTTCATCGATCCGACTGGCCACCCGACAACTCGTTTTGAGAGGGCCAATGCCGGAAACCATGTCCGAAACAATGATTGGGATACGTCCCCGCAGGGTACGAAATCATCTTGCCTTCCTCGCGAAAGAGTTGTATCCGACGGGGGGGCCAATGCGGTCGTCGAGGCGAGTTTCCTTGGTGAAGTACTCCATGCCGGCCGCGACGACGCAGATCAACATGCACCCGTAGATCCTGCCATCTCCTGCCGCCCGCAAAAGCATATTGACGGTCGCATATGGCGGTGTTTCACCAAACAACACTGACACGGGGTCTCGATGCTTCGTAGAGTGTGACACAGACTCATCTGTCCTGCAAGTCTGCGTGAAAGTAGTCCAAAATTGATGATCTTGCAGATATAACGTAGATATGTAGCTGTTGAATGCGACAGCGTTTTGCTCTTTCCTTCGCAACCTCCTAAACACAACATTATTGTAATAAGGACTGAAGTCTGCCCCGAGGTGTCACTCAGTTGGAACCAGAGAAAGTTAAGGGGAAGGTCATCACGCTAGACAATCGAGTGGTATAGAGACGGAGTTCTTTGACGGACTGATGGCCAACACTTGGTCAAACTCAACGGGAGTTTGGAAAATAATATCACCAAATGCCTCTCGTCTAAAACGAAACAATGCATACCGGAGGGTCAAAATATAGTGGGCGCGCCCCACAAAGTAAAAAAAGGGAAGCAAATCTGCACGTCTGCACAACGAGTGAGCGCCGACCTGTGGGTCAGTAACACACCTCTTTGCGATACTCTTGTTTATATGTTTCGTCTTCTTTACCTTTTCCGCCGTCTCGGAGAACATCCTGGCTTTGCCGGGCATGCCCGTGAAGTAGGCGCCCTTCCCATACGTATGCTAATTGTTTCGCTTGCGAGGATCGGCAGGCGATTAGCCTACGTTGTCGCTGATCTTGATGCCTTCCTTCAGGATGCCGCACAAGTTGCATGCACCACCGCCCCGGTGGAGGCAAATATCTCCTTGCAGCGGGGTTCGCATGGTGATTGTGGCGTGTGCGTTTATGACAGGTGAATATTATCCGTAACGTGTACCTTACAGATCGAAAACGAGCAGACGTTCTGCCCATTCTGTAAAAATGCTTGGCTTTCGATACAACGGGGCCAACATTGAATCACTCGTATCATAGATAGACGCTTCGGCGAATACCATGCGAAGCATCAAGGAACTTCCTGGTAACTCAATTTTCCACTTACCATTAGGTCGTTCACCATGGCGAAAGCACACTGGCTTCAGCAGGATGTGCGATGATACAGGTTGAGGACCTTCTTAACGATCTTTGAATAGGCCTCGAACCTTTCGCGAACTCGACGCGGCGCCTGAAGAACTGAGGCGTCAATCCGTACAATTGGGGCGGGCACGATTGATTCTCACGAGTCCGAGGTTGTCCGCCTTTCGGTCTACACAAGTGTACCATGATCGTACCAATGATCCTTTTGGGGAGTCACCAGCATCTGAGACTCCTTCCGGTTGAAGACGCACGTACCTCAATCTCGTAGCAGCCCTTGACGGTGACTGGGCCCATTTGCTTTTTGGTGTGAAATGCCACGAAGATGAAATCGGCGATGGGCTTGAAGTGCGCCGCAACATGAAGCCTGAACCCGGGGTTGATGTATCCACGTCCACCCGTCGTTTCCACTACTGTGAGGAGGTCATGCCGTGTGCCCTGAATATGATGGGCACCGCCAGAAGGTGTTTTGGAGCCCCGCGAACACGGCAGAAGTCAGACAGCGCGCAGATTCTCTGGGGGGCAATGAGATTTGCAATCCTGCGGTGGAACGCGACAATTGCACACAATTAGACATGGGTATCTGCTCATGCGTACTGATGGTGCCCGCACTTGAGAACGTCAAATTTGGCGTGAGGCTCGACGCTTATTGGCTGCCTCAACCCCAGTACGTGTTCTTATGGCCATGTTCTTATTCCGATCAGACATTTGGTCGCTGAAAACGAGGTTCTTGTTCTTATTTCACCGTCGAGTGCTCCAGAGGCGCACCAGGACGCCCTTTGGTGACTCGCAGCTATGTACATACATCGATAGGACGTGGAAATTGGCATGTAACTTCATGCGGAAAAATAAGTTGCATCATCCCCACACAGCACGTCCATACTTCGCCGTACCATGCCCATACTGTCCATTCACCAGGCACCAAGATTACTGGCCGTCGACTTGGCCGCATGTATGTACAACAGACTTCGACCGGATCACGCACCGCAGCAGCAAAGCTCGCGGTTGAGTACAAATATGAAAACAAACTCCGAAGGCTTCGACCTTCTTGGTCGATAAGGGTCACGTTCGGCCTGCGTCCCCTTCCCGCTCTACCAACGCCCAACGTGGCTGTAGCTCCGCCCCCATCCATCTGCTCGACCGTGCTCCTCTCAAGCAAGATCCACGAGCCCACCACCGCATCCGGATCTCCTCTGTACATTTCCGACGGCAGCTACATGCTGCGCGTACTTTGGTCTAGGTCGAGATGCACACGGTAGTCGTAAAGGTGGCGAGTGTGCTCCTGAGACTGTCGAGTGATCACTTCCCCAAACCACCCCATGCCCAGCCTAACGAGTACTTCACGCTGCAGTATCGAGTGTCAAGAGCTGCCGGTGTAGATGCTTGAATGCGATACCCATCCGGAATCGCTATGGCGTGAATCTCGTCGTCCGATTCCATGCTGTCGTCGTCGTCCACAAGACTCAGCTCGTACATCTGGCCACTGGCCGTCTCTGCAACGACGGGCACAAACGACGATGTCGCAGAATCTGATATGTAATCTACGCAAACATATGTTTAACGGCAACGGCAAGGGCAAAAGCAACAGCAACAGGAAACACAAGCAGGCGAGTGAAATACCCTGGTGGGCAATCAACTTACCACGAGTGTCTTCCTCGCTAGAATCGCTTTCCGGTTGCAGACGACGCGGCAGCATGGTCTGGGCACAGTGTAGGCGCTGTTGATGATGTCCGAGATGTCTCTATCAACTGCGTGGTCCACTCTTTCGAGAACACGCCGCTGCTCCTCAGGTCCCACGCCAAATCGAAGGCCTCCCAGTCTTCGCTCGAGAGGAAGTTGCCCTCCCTCATATGTTTCTTGATCACCTCGTACTGTCGTTCAAGGATCACGCCCTTTGCTTTGCGTGCTGCGAGCTTCTGGAGCTCCCTCTACATCGCCAAGGGCAGCGACATGATCGCCCTTCGTGCAGACAGAGGGCTTGTTGCATGGCACGCACCTGAGGAAACCCGAGGGCCGCAGAAGCGAAGGGGGCACAGCGATATCCCACACACACACCCTCCTGGTTCGCTAATTTTTCGGTACCCACCCTATGTTGTGGAAAAAAATACTGGGACGGGGGAGGGAGGAGGTGACGCTACCCGCCGAAATTCTTATCTTCCAGCGAAGATCTGTAATGGACCCCGTTCTTATCTTGACAACGAGTTTGGACACCTCGATACGGGTTCCTGTTCTCATGTCACGTCAGAACTGAGCACTTGTTCTTATGGCCGAGTCCTTAAGTTATGGATTTTTCTAGCCCCATGTTCTTAACAGGTGTGTTCTTAAGTGCGGGCGCCATGTGTAGTGTGACTCCAGATGATGACTGCCTAGAGGTCGACAGGAGGAGTCAACTTGTCCCTACAATCTCAGAACCTTTCGTAAGATACTCTGGAGCGTATGAGGACAACACCTTGCTGTGTAGGGCCTCCATTTGCTGTGACCGTAACGAGTGAGACGTATACGCTGGTGCGATCTCCAAGGGGCAAAGTGACAGCAAAGGTGGGTCTGAAACCCTAGAAACTCCCTGCTGAGTAGGTACACATTTTTTCGATGTACTCGAGGAAACGAATCGCGCCTTGGAGGAACATTTTCTGGTGTCCATGTTTTTCTCTATTTTTTCCTTCAATGGTGTACCCCCCATTTGCAGTTGGCTTGTGACCACGGAAGGCGTCTGCGTCAGTT